CTGCTATCCAGCCCGGAGCAGTGAAAGGGACTGAGCCTCGCCATGACCACCCGCTCCATTGATGGCCCTTCAGCCTAGCATGGCGGCCCCAGAACAGATTTCCCTCCCCCGCCATTGGCCTTTCCTTCCAGTTGCAGCCCACTGGGTTCACACTGCTCTGCTCAGTGTGGCTGCCCACGAAAGTAAAGCCTGCGTTCAGGCTGAAGGGTGGGGGGAGCAGTTGGGTGGGGCAATGTGGGCACCACAGCCTTGTGGTGGCACAAGGGCAGCATTAATTGCTTTANAACTCCCAGAATTCCCCAGCCAGCATTCGCTGGCTGGGGAATTCTGGGAGTTGAAGTCCAGACATCTTCAAGTTGCCAAGGTTGAAAAACACTGCGTTAGCTGATCAAAAATATTGTTCATGTCGGGAATGAAAAAGACACGAGGATATTTGACCCACAGTTAAAAAGTGGGAAGGACTATAGAGTCTAGGCTACACTGGGTTGCTTCTAAGATTTCCTGAGCCACAAATTCTGGCTTACAAACGGCAACGGTTGAGTTCACCCAATGTACTAAGTCAAAGACAAACCAACAACATTTGGGCTTAGCTGAAGGGAACTCTGAAGCATGAGCCCAGCCATGCTTCAATGCTGCTCCTGCATGACAACAAGCTAACAAAAAGCTGAAATTACTTTTTCTCCACATCTGACCTGACATGGCTGTTGGGGGAAAGAGATGGACGACTCCCCAATTCAAGCCAGATTCCCAGAGCAAAAAGGGGCAGGGAAAAGTGCCCTACCCTACCCCAGAAGGGGTCTCTTCCCTGGCACCTCAATTAGAGCAGCCAGGACTTGTGCTGTTGCTGCCAGCCACCTTTCTTGTACTGATGCTATTTAAGGGGTCGGCCTCCATCTCCTGGGCTGGCTCAGTAGCAGAGGGGCCTCGTCTGCAGCCCTTTGCCCTCACAGCAGGCCTAGTTAGCCCCAACATTTGCCTTGCCACTGATGCAGCCTCAGGGAAACCCGGGTCAAGCAGCCAGTAACATCAGCTTCAGGGACATGTACAGGCCCTTCCTTAACCAAGCCCAAAGCTCCAGCAGCCCCTAGTGGGAAAAACAAGGGGCCTTCCGAAAAATCCAGGACTAGATTCAGGCAGCCATGTTACTACAACTCAGAGGGGCTGAGTATCTGTATTCAAACACAGCCATGCTGGCACTTGCAGAGGATATAGTTTTGAGAAAGCCTTTTGCCTTGTTTTCATCCTTGCCTCTGCTTCCATTTTCCACAGTGCCCAAAATAAACAGCGTTTCCACAAAGGGTTCAAGATGAAAGAAGGAACTTCAGTTACAGTATAAAGAAGTACAGGCTGGAGTGATCTGAGGCTGCCTATAAATATGCAAGATCAAAGCTGGTCCTGTTAAATTAAAAATGCTGTCACACAGATAGGAACTAGCCTCTAGCACTGCTGGCTTCAACATGTGAGCCTCTGATCTGAGGCAGAGCGAAAGAGAAGGGGGGAGGAGAGCTGAGCACCCATAGAAGCTGCATTCACTATAAGCAAAGGAGGAGGAGGAGGAGGAGGAGGGTGAAATGAAAAGAAGGTTCACTAGTAGCAGGCGAGTTTTAATAAGACGATTACACATTTTTCATGCACATTGTTAGAATTTAACCGGCAGCTCTGCGGGGGACACTTCTGGAGCAGCCCTTGTGAAGCGGCCTCTGGCAGTGACTTCCACCCCAAGCCCTTCCTCTGCAGACCTGCAGCCCGCGTTTCCTACTCCCAGGGGGAAAGTTCCATCACGCGAGGGCAAATGCTGCCCATCAGCGTTCGGAAGCCTCCGTGCGGACACCATCGCCGCATCAACGCTTCCACTCTGACCCGTCCCACGCGCGTCTGCGGGGCTCGCTTCCCTGGAATGGAGCCCGCAAACACACACGCAACTCCCGCGTCCTTGACCCGAAACCCACGTTCAGCCAGGATGGCTACCCGAGCAGAGCAGAGCAGCAACTACCCGCGGGCTGCCCTCGGCCTTGTGCACTCCCACTGGCCCCATCCTCTTGGTTCCGGACTCCCGAAGGCGATCCGGGGTTCGAAGGGATGGAAGCGGCCTCTTCAGCCCGCCCGCGGTTGAGGAGCAGCAGCCCCTGCGATCCCGTCCACGGAGAGGCGCTGCCTTCCTGGATCGAGCTCCAGATCTCGGGCCAGACCCCCGAGGGCGGCCGAGCGAGCCGAGACCGTCGCTCCCGGGCAGCCCGGATGATTCTCGGCGGCCCACGAGCCGCCTTCTCCCGAAACGAAAGTCGGCGGAAAGCGCCGGGGAGCTGCCGTTCCTGCCCGGGCGCCACGCGGATCCCGGGCCCGTGCGCTCTGCAGATGCTCAGGGGGCGCCGCCGCTTTCCCACCGTAGCCATTTTGCGCCGCCACCGCTCACCTGCACGATCTCGCCCTCGGCGCTGAGCGTGGCCCCGGCGCGGGAGAAGCGGCCCTGCAGCCCCGTGGTGTAGGTGGTGTAGTCGCCGCCGGGGCTGGACTCGAAGAGCACCACCTCCACGAAGGCCGCCTCCCGGCCCAGCGCCGCCACCGCCGCCGCCAGCGCCACCAGCAGCAGCGGCCCCGGCCCCGGCCCCGGCCTCATCGCGCCGCCGGGCCCCCCGCGCCGGCCCCGGGCAGCGGTGGCGAGGGGGGCGCCCGGCCGGGGTCGCGCATCGCGTCGCGGGCGCCGCCGGGCCTCTCTGCGGCTTCTCCTTCTGCCCGGCCTCCGCCTCGGCCTAGCGTCGTCTCCCGGCGGCGGGGCGGCGGGCTGGCGGCAGCTCCCTCCTCCTCCTTCTCCTCCTCCTCCCGGCCCAGCCGCCGCGTCCCTTTCATCCGCTCCACGTGACAGGGCTGCGGCTGTCCCCGCCTCCGGCCGGGCCCGGCCCGCCTCGCCGCCGCCTCCTGGCCGGGCAGCGCGGGACCTGACGGGTGGCTTCGTCTGGGCGGGGCTGGGGGAGCCGAAGCTTCGGCAGGCCCGAAAGGGGTGGACGTGGGGGTTTGCGCCTCCGGGCAGGGTCCTCCAGAGTGAGGGAACCCGGCGGTGGAAGCCCACCTGGCAGCCAGTGGCCGGCTAGAAAGCCGGGTAGGAAGGCGGCTTTCGGGTCCCCGCCTCCTCCTGCCCAGGAGCTGTGGTCCCCAACCCCCGTTGGAGGAAGGACTCCCGTTCTTCTTCCACAACACGAGAGGAAGAGGAGCTTGCTCGCCGCAGGGTGCGGCCCGCGGACATTCGAGGGGAGCCACTTAAAGGGTTTGGGCGAAGCAAATTTGGATTATCAGAAAGCGGGGGGCAAGGAGCCAAGAAGGGGAGGGAGCTGCCCTGACGGGCGGCCGACTTAAGCGCGAGACGGGGCCCCGGTGCAGTTCTCGGCTCTTAGCAGCGGAATTTGCAGGCTCTCGGAAGGGCCCCTCGGAGCACCCCTTATCCGGCCAGCAGGCAGGAAGCTGGGCTGCAGGCCTTCCTGAGACCGAAGGCCCCGGAGGCGAAAGTCTGCCTCCTTCCAGCGCGGGACCCGCAGACTCCTCCGGGCGCCAGAAGAGCGCTGGCCATCAAACCCGAAGGAAGTTGAGAGGAAGGAAGGAAGGTCTGCGGGCGGCTTGTGGTCTTACACCAATTCTGTTGGCTGCCCGAGTCATCTGCTCCCTCTGCTGGTGGCTAAAAAGGGAGAGCTACCGGCGGAAAGCCGCTCAGGTTGCGTGTCGGCTACGGCTCCGTAGCCCTCTTGTTCTGCCCTGTTCCCTCGAGCAGCCCTGTATGCTCCCGCCCGGAGTCCACTAACACGGGGCGGGCTGTAAATACGTGGAGGAAATATTCGCTAGATAGGCGGATAGCCTAGCAGAGAGCAAGGGCTCTTTCTACAGAGGCCTGGTTGTGCCCGCGAAGGAGAGTCGTGTTCAACTGCTTCAAGCAACCAGCGTTGGCTGTACAGTGGCTTCTGCTGTGGGGCTGCAAGATCGCTAGGCAGATTTCCCCGGTCCTTTTAGATTTTGCAAATTTTTAAACCTCCTTTGAAACACCATAAATGGCGGGTCAAATACAGCAAACCAGAGCTCAGAGGAATACGGGGGAAGTTTCAGTAAAATAGAATCTGAGACAGCTGGCTTAGAATTCAATATGCTTTTGAAGCGGGATCCGCCGCCAATTTCAGACAAATCCCAGCAGCGGCGGTTCGGGACCAGAAACTGGCGACCGCCAAGGCTAAGGCCCTTGCCGCTGCTCTGTCGCTCGCCCGTCGGAACCTACTGCTGGTCGGAGGGCGGAAGGATCCCGGCGCCCGCCCACCGCAGCAATCTGCGCCTACGACTCGTGCCTGTTGCGCTTCCGCGGGATCAGCCCGAGTCACGGCCTGCACAAGGCCGCGTCCGGGCAGACCTCCCGCGATGACGGCAACCGTCCAAAGCACTCCCTGGTGGCGGCGGGATGCTGCCCGGCAGAGCTCGGGGGGAGGAAAGCGCCAGCACTTGCCACGCCGAAGTTCAGCAGCTGCGCTCTTCACTGCGCTGCGCTTTCCTTCACGGGTTTAATTTGGGGTTCTCCTTCTTGCTACGCATCGGGAGCTGCGAAAAGTCCCCGGTGCGCAACGAGCTGGAATTCCCCGGACTAAGCCCGTCGCGTCGCTGGCTACAGGGCACCCCGCCCAGCCAGGATGTGCGGAGGCCGCCGCTTCCACGAAGGAACCTGTTCCGCGAGTTCCGGCCGAGCCCTGCTCGACGCAGGAGGAAACGCTCGCTTTCACCGACGGAACACCCCCCCCCCCCCAAATCGGCTTCCTCGCCGGCGTCATTCTGCGGCTGCGCGGGTGCGGGCGGCCAGCGTGGCGTTCAGCGAAGGCCAGAGGCTTGCGTCAGGCGCACCTGACGCAATCGCGCCCCGCCCCTCCCTGCCAGGGGCCAATCGGCAAGCGTCCCCGTGGGGGTGTCTCCTGGCGGCACCCAATCAATGAGAGCCACGACGTGAGATATGCGCGGAAGCCGCGGCGGACCGCAAGCGCAGACGCCTGGACGCACCGTCGGAGCAGGTCCTTTCGGGGCTCGACGGTGGTGAAGGAGGAGGCCGAGGCCGCCACCGCCGGTGGGATGGCTCCTCTGCCGGGTCCTGCGGCACCGCCGCGGCTCCTCCTGCTGCCGGCCGCATCGACGGCTCCGGCGGCCGCTCCAGGGGCTCCCTCGCCTTCCCCGCCGCCCCGTAAGCGGCAGCGCCTGGCGCACCTCAGCCCGGAAGAGAAGGCCCTACGCCGGTGAGGCCGGGACCGGGGGCTGGGCGCTGCGCCCTGCGCGGTGTCACGCGGGCGCCTCTCAACCGCCGCTCTGTCTCCTCCCCAGGAAGCTGAAGAACCGCGTGGCGGCGCAGAGCGCTCGCGACCGCAAGAAGGCGCGCATGGGCGAGCTGGAGCGGCAGGCCGTCGAGCTGGAGACCGAGGTGGGGCGCGGAGGGCTGCCGGGTGGGGCGGGGAGGGCGGCGGGGCGGGCGGGCGCCCTCTCACCGCCTTTCTCTCTCTCTCTCTCGCAGAACCAGAGGCTGCTGGCGGAGAACCGGCGTCTGCGGGAGCGCGCCCACAGCTTGGCGCGCGAGAATCACGATCTGCGCCTCCGTCTCGGGCTTCCCGCGCTGAAGGTGAGGGTCGGCAGGCCGAGGGGCCCCACCGGGCCGCCTGCCTCCGCCAGTCTCACCAAGGACCCTTCCCCGCAGGTGGAAACGCAGGAGGAGACAGCAAGCATCGCCCCTGAGGGGGCAGAGACCGGGTCTTCTGAGTCCGCAGCACTTAGACTACGTGTTCCTCCGCAGAAGGGACAGGCCCAGCAGTCTTCTGCCTCCCCAGTGGGGGAGAGGAGGAGGAGGAAGAGGACGAAGGCGGCCTCCTCCTGGGCACAGACAGCCTGGCTTCTTCAGATGCTGAGGTGCGTGGAAATAGTTGCTGCCCTTCCTGTTAATGCCCAGCTAGGAGCAAATGTGTGTGTGTGGGGGGGGGGGATCCTCTGAGTCACCTGTTCTAACCAGCAAAATGGGGGGTGTGGGGGTGTATCTGTTCTCTTGCAGTCTGATCTCCTCCTGGGCATTTTGGACAGTCTGGACCCAGACATGTTCCTGCACTGCAGCAGCAGCAACTCCCAGGCAACCGTCTTTGAGAAGCTGCAGCAGGAAGTGTGTGGAGAAGCAGCTGTTCCCCTACCTGCCTCCCCCAGCCCCTCCGTGGGGCCACCCAAGCAAGACGCCATTAATGAACTGATCCGCTTTGATCACGAATACACCAAGCCGTTCTTCCTGGAGATCATATCTGAGTCGGCCACCCAGGAGGAAGTAGTGGTGGCTTCTCCTCCCCTGCCAGCCCCCATCTGTGTGAAGGAGGAGCCTGCAGACACCCTTTTGCCTGATCTGGGCCTCTGCCACCTGCTCTCTCCAGACCAGAGGCCTCCCTCTCTGCTGGATGCCGCCAGTGACTCGGGCTACGAAGGCTCGCCCTCCCCGTTCAGCGACCTGTCCTCTCCTGTGGACGCAGACTGCAGCTGGGAGGAGGCCTTTGCCAAGGAGCTGTTTCCTCAGCTGATCAGTGTGTGACACCTGCTTAGCTTATGGACAGGCGTTTTGGAAGGACGTTCCTCTCGAAAGTGTTTCATCAGATCCCCAAGTATTGCTTTTTTTGTATGCCTCCTCTGCCTGCCCACCTGCCTCATCAAGGTGTTCCGTGGCCCTTCCAAGAAACGAAACCGCCATTCAAGTCAGCTTTGTTGGAAAGAAGGGCTCCTGCTTAGGGAGAAATCGCTAATCCCTCTCAGTAGCTTCTCTTCAATGTGTAAATAAAGGCGGCGGTGGGGGTGTGGTCAGATATTATGTAAATATACACACTGCTTTTTTTGAAAGTTGTTTTCCTGCAACCTATTTAAACTTGCTGTAATTAAAATGCAGAGCAAGTGATATCTTTTTCCTACCTTTGTTCTAAAGTGCGAGGGAGGCAGTGGTGGGTTGCAGGCGGGGTGCCCTGGTACGGGTGTACCGGAACCTGCCCGGAGCACCGGATACTGTTCTGGTACGGTGCTCCGGAGGCCTGCCCACCCAAGCTCCTTACCTGTCTTTTAAGGCTTCGGTGCGCACGTGCATGGCACATACAGCACCTGTGCGACGCTCCGCAGAGAAGCTGGAGTGTCACGGAGGCACTAAGATGCTTGCTCATGCTGCGCACGTCCATGTGGACACCGCCGTACTGGTTGGAACGGGATCCGGAACCCACCACTGGAGGGAGGTAACAGTGGAAGATCATTCAGAAAGAAGGAGAAATGTATTGGTCCATTTAAGGTTCTGCACAAACTCTGCCATTCATATTAATTTGGCAAACTAGTTCAGTTAGCCATAGGTAAAAATACACATGCATTCTTTGCCCTATTTCAAGCAATAGTTTACATGGCTATCTAACCCAGGGTGTGCAAAATTTAGGGAAGGTTAAACCTTGGCTAGCCATCACAGGAAAGTATGAAGTTCTATTCTTCCTGTCCTGCTGCTACTAGCTCCTGAGTGATAGGTAGTGGTTGCCTCTGAATGCTTGCTGCCCAATTGTACACTTGACTGTCCTTAAGTGGGAAGCGGTTCCATTCTTCACTGATGGAATGCTAGTTACAGACCTGCCAAATATTACAGAAGCAGGAAGGAAAGTTCTCATTTGAACCAGGGAACCATAGGAAGCATACAACTAAAGCTTCCACAAGCTGAGCAACAGAGACTACAGTGCAAAGTTGTGTGGCCTTTATCTGCACAGGTGTGGGAAAGGGATTTCCTTGGAGGGTCTCTCTGTACCCTTGGCTATAGACTAAAATGCTCGATTACCTCAGAACTTTCTGTGTCACTGGCAGCTCACAGTGTGTCAAAACAGACCCAGCAGACATCAAAGGGATTTTGTAGCCCCAAAAGTAATCTTAAAACAGCAAAGTAAAAGGTATTGACAAATCTTTAGTACTTGTTAGCAATCTGCATCATTTTACACATGCTTTTTAAAAAAATGTTTATTGACATACAAATTGTGATTTGGCCCAATGGCAGACAGACCACAATGCAGTGTTGCTGGTTTCTATATTAACTATCCAACAGAAACACTCCCAGAATTCCCATCTCTTAAGCCCGTGATGGCGAACCTATGGCACACATGCCACAGGTGGCACGTGAGCCGTTGCCCTATGTCAGCTCCAGCACGCATGCGTGCCAGCCTGCTGATTTTTGACCTCTCTGGAGAGCCGGGGGAGGCAGTTTTGGCTCTCCCCACTCCAGGAAAGCCTCCTGAGCCTGGGGAGGACAAAAAATGGAATTTCCTGGCCTACTGGAAGTTCAGAAACAGACTGTTTCCAGCTTCTGTGGAGGGCCTCCGGGAAGACAGTCCATTTCCGAACTTCCAGTAGAAGTTCCGTTTTTCACCCTCTCCAGGTTCTGGAGGCTTTCTTCACACAATTTTGGCACACAAGGACAGAAAGGTTCTCCAGCACTATCTTAAGCAATTCTTTTTCCACCAATGGGTGCCCATCCATCCCTCAAAGTTACACTTTTGGATACACTCGAAAGATTTTTTTTATCCCTCCATGAGTGAGGGAGGGTGGGTAATTTCAAAGGCCAATCCAACAATTGGAGAGGTTACTTTATGTACAATTGAAGAAACAGACATCCCTTTTTTCCTTTCTTATACCAGAGCAAAATCTAACCAACATAAACCTGAAACAGCTGTGATAAAAGTCAGATTTCGGTTTTGCAGATTGTAAGCAAAGCCAATTCCCACCTGTGGTTGCTTGGCACTTGCTGTGCTCTCCCTGGGAGAGCTGGTTTCTGATCTCAGCACACATAAGGGTTGTCTGGCTCCTTCCCTAATTTAAGATTACAAACTTTTAAGAGTGACGCCAGCTTGCTACTCAAACAGAAGAGAGGCACTTGCTAAATGAAAAGGTTACTTAAAAGCAGAGGCAACTTCACAAAGTAGCAATATAAAGAAATGAGTTGTAAACAGAATAGATTAGTTGAGATCTGCACAATGTTAAGTTTCAACAAGATTATTAGCTATGAAAGCTAATACAGTTTGGAACCAAGAAAGTATCTGCAGAAAATTGAAAATAGAACTCAAAATGCAGAAACTTTCAATTGTCCTTCACAGGGGGAAAAACTTGATGTTGCCTCTTTCTTGGCTTTCTCGTAGGCAGTGTGTAAAGCTTGAGCTTTTCCTAGAAAAACTATTTCCTATAGATAAAAATTCCTGCAATAATTTTCATTTAGAGTGGTGCTACAAGAATTTCAGAGCACTACGCTGCCAATTGGCTCCTCGAACACAAGAAGCTAAAAAGTGCATAATATGGCAGCTTAGGCAGCCTGATGTTTAACTGGCACATTACCAACAGCTGTGCTCAGCTAGGTTGCCACAACCATGATCTATTTCCCTCAATGCTACTAGTGCCCACTGAGATTCTCAAGAAAGGAACCACAGGGCACAGGGGGCCTTTTGTGAATCTCTCCTGACTCAATGGTTCACATTTTCTGTTCATACAACAGTCAGTCTGCAAGTCAATGACACCGACTGATCTTGAGTTGGTGAAGACGAATCTGTATCCCCATGCCTGAACAGACATTTCTTGCCAATAGCTAAACCAAAGGAACCTCAGGCTTGCCTACTCAGCTCAAATTTGAAAGGCTGTAGCAGAATTCTGTATTTGTCACAGGCAATCAAATTTCTTAATCAAAAAGACCCAAACTCTAGACTGGAAACACGGCTTCAGGCTTAATGGGCATAAAGGATGGGACATAAAGTTTGGCATCTCACTGTGTAAAAAGATGACAAGCTGCACACAAAGAACCAGCCACCTTATTTCAGGAGCCCCAAGTGCCTTCCCCACACCTTAGATTTACAATTAAGCCCGTGGATTCCTATAGAATGGCACCTTTCCATCTCTGCTTGTCCCGGAAGTAAAGGTAAAGCAACTTGCTTTGTTCCCTTCTTCTACAGCTCCATCTCTTCTTCCGCAGGCCCATTTGATCCAACTGCCTCGAAGTGGGCCAAGGGCATTTCTGCTTGCTGAGACTGTGTCAGGAATTTGTCTGTCTGTGAGGGAAAGGCAGCTTCCAAGGCTGCTAGCTTTCCAAGGTGTCTTTGTGGGACCGATGGCTTGTAGCTCTTAATACAAGCCGGCCGTTCTTTTTCAGGGAGAAATTCAGGGAGAGGCTTCCAAAGCACCAGCTCCATTGATGGACGGCTCCTGAGAGAGAGAAAGCACCAGGGTCAAAATCAATCTCTGGGGAGCAGCCCTTGCCCAGGCTGCTCCTGGCCTCTACTCTACCCAAGGGGGCAGCTGGGAAGATGGCTGGGGTTCCATCCCCCCCTTCCCTGTTGGAGCCACAGACGTACATGGACTCAATTATTTTCTTGGTCAAGATTCCTTCGTAGTCTTGCTTCAGTCCGGTTTGCAGTGTGCGGGACAGGACCAGGGTGGGCAGGTGGCCCTCGGGCCGGCCTGCAAGTCCCTCCTCCTCCTCCTCCTCCTCTTCTTCGGTGATCCTGGCGGGGAAAGGAGGAAGCCCCGTGAGAGGGGCGCGGGTGGAAGGCGGCCTCTATGGCGGGAGGGCGGGCGAGCGGCTCACCTGTCCTCGATCTCCTGCAGCCTCCGACGGGCAGCCTCGCACTGCTGCTCCGCCCCGACCTGCTCCATTTCCTCGCAGGGCGCTTCCGGCGGGCCGGGGGTCGCCCCCGAGCAGCACGGCCACGCCGCCGCCGCCGCCGCCCTCTTGCCCGGGGGGCACCTGGGGAGGAAAAAGCGAAGAGGCTGGCACCCGGCGCCGCGACGGACGCCCCGCCTGCCTGCCTGCCTGCCTGCCTGGGGCCCGGCCCCGCTCACCCCTCCGGCTCTTCCTCCATCCGGTGCTTCCTCCATAGGCGAGGCGGGGCGCCGCCCGGGCTGGCCGACGAGGCCCGCGCGCCAAGCAGAGGTCTGGCCGGCCCTAGGGCGGCGAGGCGGCGGACGCGGGGACGCGGGGCCAGCGGCGGTGGCGGCGGGAAGGCGCTGGGCAGCGGCCCGGAGGCCATGGCGGTGCCGGCCGCTCCGCTTGGGGTGTGTGGAGGGGGCCGCCGCCGGGCGGCCTCGAGCACGTGACCCAGGCGCGCCGCAGACGCCGGCAGGTGACGGAGGCGCGCGCGAGGCTTGCCGGGAGTCGTAGGCGCTGTGCGGGCCGGAGGCGTGGGGGGGGGGGGGGAGGATGGGGGCGGGCCCGGCATAAAGCGCGCTGCTCCCCCGGCTGGTTGTGTGTAGCCCGGGCGGCTCGGAGGGCGAGCATGGAGCGGCAGCCGCTGGTCCGCGGGGCCGAAGCCCGCCGGAGTCCCCGGCGCCAGGTGAGGGCGGGAAAGACTCCCGATACTCCGTGAGGGCGGGAAAGACTCCCGATACTCCTCGGCGGGACGACGCTTAGTAGGTTTCCCCCGCTGGGAGAGTCTCCCTCTCCTTTGGCTGCGGGTCGCCGGGAGCTTCCAGCAGCCCCGTTGTCCGGGCGGCATTGGAGCCGTCCTGCGGCCCCAGCGTTGCAGCCAAGTCTTAACCGAGGCTGGGGGCTTTTGGGAGGGTGGTGGGGCGGTCACAGCTGCCCGCTCTGTCCCTTTGTCTGATTCTTTACCTCGCCTTTACGACTTTCTAAGGAACTCAAGGCAGTGAACATACCTAATACTCCTTGCTCCTCCTTCCCCCACCACAACAACCCCGTGAGGTGGGCTGGGGCTGAGAGAGAGAGAGGGACTTTCCCAACATCAGCCAGCCTCCTTTCATGGCTGATAAGATGGGTCTCCCGGTTTCTAGCACCTTCATCCCTGGCTGTTCTCCTGGGTGACCCCCCCCCCCCTGCGCTCTCCAGCCTGAGGGAGGGGGAAAGTGTGCCGTTTTTTCCATCCTTTCTCCCTCCCTCTGGGACACACATCTCTGATTTGCCTTATGAGAAGGGAAATGCCCCCTGCTCCATTTACAGCCCTGGGTGGTGTTTCTTGCGAGTGTCTTTTCTTTCTCTCTCTCAGCTCCACCATGTATTTCTTCAGTTGCTTTTGCCAGCCCCCTGCCAGGTGGATAGGAATAGTGGTACTTTTGCCTCTGCATTAAAGATTCCTGGAAAAAAGATCGAGTGACTTTAGACAATCCATCTGCATCATTACAAGCAGGCGTAATGGGATTGTTGTCTGGTCTTGGGAAGATGGTTGCTTGAAATGCTGGTGGGCAGGCCACAGAAGGCTTCTTGTTATCAGGGCAATGATGAAGCAAGCCTCACCTTCAGTTTTGGCTTCTGCAAATTCTCCATGGGGTTCCCTCTGTATCACTTTCCATGGATTAGTCAGATGGAGAAGGTATCAAAATGAGTTTCTTGGGAACAGCTGAAGCTTTGGGATTTTCTAAGGGGGAATACCTCTAACTGTCCCCCTTCTCACCTTTCATCTTTTGAGAAATATGCTAGCAGGCAGTAAAAGGGAGGTTGCCTCCAACCTCCTGCTCTGCCTGCCATCCGAGAACTCTCCCAGCAACCAAAGAGGTTTCCCACATGTATGAAAAGGCAAAAGATTTGGGTGTCCAACTTTTAGTCTAGACTGATCCAGGAGGAAAGCTACTATGGGATAGAGCATGAAGGTTGCTGCTGAGTAGTAGCTGAGTGGTAGTAGTAGTAGTAGCTGAGCTCCCGTTACTTGTCCCAGCTTCTGCCAACTTAGCAGTTTGAAAGCACGTTAAAAAATGCAAGTAGAAAAATAGGGACCACTTTGGTGAGAAGGTAACAGCCCTCCGTGCACCTTCAGCATTTGGGCATGCCAGCCTCATGACCACGAAGACGTCTTCGGACAGCGCTGGATCCTCGGCTTAAAAACGGAGATGAGCACCGCCCCTAGAGCCAGAAACGACTGGCATGCATATGCAGGGGAACCTTTAATGTATTTTTTAAAAGTTCTTTTTTTTTTAAATTGGCTTTCAACTTTGTAGTTCAGATCTGGCGCTGTTACTGATGGTCCATCCCCAAGCTGTGACTTTCTTCTCCCGATGCTTCTTCCTTGGCTGGGGAAAACGGAGCCCCGTCTCCCCCACGGCTCCCAATGGGGCTGGCAATCTTACGCTCTGCCAAACCCAAACATCTTCTGTTTGAGCCAGAATGGGCGCTGCCAGTTGCCAGCAGTCCAGGCCTCCTTGAGCAAGTCATTGGGGACTTCCTCTTTCTATAGCTCCCAACCTGGACCCTCCTTGGTACCGTGTGTGCAGCTGGCATTGGAGGAACCTTTCAGTACGGATACAACGTTTCTCTCATCAGTGCCCCCACTCAGGTAAGCTCTCCAAAGCATCTTGAAGGGCTGTTTGTGGCTGCTCTGCTGTAGATTCTTCTCTTCACACTTGCCCAGCTCAGAGGAATAGCAATAGCAGTAGACTTATATACCGCTTCATAGGGCTTTCAGCCCTCTCTAAGCGGTTTACAGAGTCAGCATATCGGCCCCAACAACAATCCGGGTCCTCATTTTACCCACCTCGGAAGGATGGAAGGCTGAGTCAACCCTGAGCCGGTGAGATTTGAACCACTGAACTGCTGATCTAGCAGTAGCCTGCAGTGCTGCATTTAACCACTGCGCCACCTTGGCTCTAGCCGGGTAGAAGGGTGCATGAACCAGCATAGACTTCTCATTGTCCGGCTCCATGTGCAGCTGGGCTGAAAATGCCCACTGTCCATTGCCTGACGATGAAGGAAATGGCAGGAGGTATGGAATGGCTGCCAGGACCCACATAAGTGAAGCTCTGCTCGGATGCA